CGTGCGATGCTACCGTTGCGGTAGAGTCAGTCACTTTGCTCGGGAGTGCACGGCCCCCGTGCACCAGCAGGGTGGCTATCGCGGCGGTGCCGGGAACCGTCGCAACCAAACAAAAAAAGCTGGACGCCAGTAGGCGCGGAGCGCCCTACTGGTAATGCGGTTCCGCGTGTCGTCCTTGGACACGCGACACTGAGGACTGCAGCACCCAGTGAGATTCATTCTCACTGCAAGAACCAAGATGACAAGCAAATGTGAACTAAATGAGACCAAGCGGCTCTCTTCGCGCTTTGGTAGATTCTGGTGCGTCGAAGAACTTTATTCGACGCGAAGTCTATCGAGGCTTGACTTCGAGGATTTAATGATACCTCGAAGTATGTTGGAAGTACGACTGGCGACGAGCGCCGTCGTGAAGACCGAGAAGCGCATGGTACGCGTGCGCTTCACGTATGAAGATCAAGAGTTAGTCGAACCCTTTATCGTCCTGGACCTGGACGGTAAGTTTGACATTGTATTGGGCATGCCGTGGCTTGCACGGCATGATCCGGTAATCGATTGGTAGAAGCGCACTCTCGTGCGCTTCGGTCGCGACAGGGGAACAGCGAGCGATGGCCCTGTTGCCGCAACACACGCACCGACAGGTGAGCGCGACTCCCCACTCGAGACAGCGCCTAACCCCGTTGTCCCGGACCGCCCTGGGCGCGCGCGAGCACGCGCGCAAGAGCAGCTAATGACGGAAATCTGTTGGCCTCGGAGGTCGACACCCGCTTTTCAGCGAATCAGGAAACGTCTCTGGCCCCGAAGGGCGCGGATGACGCAGGCGAGTCACACACCTCAGCCGTGGATGCTGACGCGAATCTGATCGGATCAGTTCTGGCCAATAATAAGAGCCAATGTGACGTAACGCCGTCGACTCCGGGAGTCGATGGCGTCGAGGTATTAAAGTCGCGACGGTTCCGGGAACCGGCGCTGCGAAAGGAACTTCGCGTCGACTCCGGGAGTCGACGCACCCCTTGTAATAAAGGGCTCCGCCAATAACAGGTGTCGAGGTGAGGATGGCGTGTCGGCTCCGGGAGCCGACGCTGCAGGCGGTGCGGACGGTTGCAAACGTCCTGCACCGGAAAAACTTGCATGCTGTCGTGCAGCCGGGCTGCACGACGAAGCGCCGTGCGACCAAGCCGGGCTTGAAGTCGCTCGCCCGCGGGATGTACCCGCCGGCGGTATAAAAGAAGAACACCCGTCCACGGCTGGGCCTGGACGAGGTCAAGAACGAAGCGGAGCCGGACTCCATAAAACAAGAAGACGGCGCATGCGAAGGTTGCTGCGCAAGTCTCGGCCTGGGGCCGAGACGCTACAAGAAATGTCTGCCGGGCAGACGGAGGCAGAGGAGCGGGACGTCGAGACGTTCAACGTCTCGACGCGTACCTGTGCCGGGTTCCGGTACAGGGAGATGACTCTCGCTAATCCTCCGACGCAAGCGTCGGAGTTGACTTCGCTTCCAGTCATGAGCTGGAAGCGCTTCGCGCGTGACTTGCACGATGGACGCATCGAGCAAATATGCATTCTCTCGGACGCCGAGAGGGCGAAGAGCGAGAATGACGAACTGAGGCAGTTCTTCATGGAGGCCACCACTGAGAGTGAGGACACTCTCAGTGCGAAGACTGAGAAGGAGCGCTTTGAGGAGCAGAGCTGGGACTCGCTGAAGACGAGTCCCTTCTACGAGATCTTACTGGAGTACGCGGACGTGCTTCCGGAAGAGATCCCTGCGGAACTTCCGCAGGACAAGGGCATCCAGCACGAGATTGATCTCGTGCCGGGGACGAAGTATTGTGTCACGCGGCAGTGGCCACTGCCCCGAGAGCAGGTCAAGGCGATCGACGACTTCTTTGAGAGTCGTCGCAAAGCTGGACAAGTGCGGGAATCGAAATCCCCGCACAGTGCTCCGGCGTTCTGTGTCAAGAAGCCACAGGGCGGCTGGCGCATCGTTCATGCGTACAACAACCTGAACGATGCGACGAAACCGGTGCAGACGCCGATACCGCGAAAAGATGTCATCATCGATTCGATGGCCAGGAGCACTATCTACAGTGCTCTTGATCTGCGCGATGGATTCTATCAGATCCTCATGCGTGAGATTGATATCCCTCTCACGGCTGTGAGCACGCCAAGCGGCATGCTCTGGGAGTGGCTAGTGATGCCGCAGGGTCTGAAGTACGCCCCTGCGACCTTCAACAGGTGCGTGACGCACTTGTTGCGCTCGGTGCGCGACTTCCCACCAAGCTACTTCGACGATGTGTTCTTTCACAGCTGGGCTGCGGACGGGATGAGCAATGTTGAGATGCGCAAGGTACATCTCCGGAGGCTGCTTGCACTTATGCGCAAGCACAAGCTCTATGCGAACCTGAAGAAGTGCACCTTCGGGACGAGCGAGATACCCGTGCTCGAGTGTCTCGTTGGGAAGAATGGTATCCGCCCTGACCCTGAGAAGTTCAGAGTGATCAATGAGTGGCCGACCCCATCGAACGTCAAGGAACTGCGGCAGTTCCTTGGCTTGGTCACGTAATTGTGCAAGTATGTGAAGGACTATGCGGGCACGATTCGCCCGCTGTCACAGCTCCTGAAGAAGGATGCCGAGTGGAATTGGATTGCTGAGTGTCAGCAGGCCTTCGATGCAGGGCTTGACTGAGGCGCCGATCTTGGCGGTGGCCGACCAAGATCGCCCGTTCCACGTTGTGTGCGACGCATCCGGCTTCGCAATCGGATGTGCGTTGATGCAGCACGATCACGAGGGTCGTGATCGTATCGTCTACTACCAATCGCGCCAGCTGAAGGCAGCTGAGCGCAACCACCACATTGAGTCTTCCGGGCTTGTACTCAACCCGGAAGTTATACTCTGCGAAGAATGAGAGCCATCTCGCCATCCGTTGCGGGATGTGCGGCGACTTCACGGCCGTCCGCAGCGACGCGTGGTCCGTATAACCACGAACGGTTTGCTTCCGAGTAGATACACTCGGAACTTCGCGAGTGACTGAAGGTCGCGTACGCGCACGACGCGGACGCAAAGCTCTTGCTGGCCTACGGCTCAGCGCCTTCTGGCAAAGCTCGTCAGAAGCTGCCGACGCATCTTCGTGCTCGTGCACACCGTTACCGGGTGCACGACGGGTTATTACTCTACAGTGCAGTCGACGACAACGCGGACCGCGTTGTCGTGCCCAATGACCATGACCTCCGACTCAGGAACATGTATGAGTACCACGATGCACCGACTGCGGGGCATCCGGGCCGTGAGAAGACATACCTTCTTCTCACGCGAGACTTCTACTGGACCCACCAGTATAAATGGGTGCGCAAGTACGTCCGTGCTTGCGAGGTTTGTCGACATGTGAAACCTGCGCCTTTCGCGCAGGCTCCCTTGCAGTCACTTCCAACTCCACGAGAGTGTTGGCAGTCCGTGTCTTTGGACTTCGTGTTCGGTCTTCCCCCGGACAACCAGGGGAACACGGGCGTTGTGGTCTTTGTTGACCGCTTCAGCAAGATGGTACATCTTGCTGCGGTACCCGCTGAAGTGACTGCGAAGTAGACGGCGCGTCTGTTCGTTGACATGGTGTTCAAACACTATGGCATGTCGATCGACATTGTGTCGGATCGAGACCCGCGCTTCACTGCACACCTTTGGCACGAAGTGTTTACACTTCTTGGGAGTCAACTTTCAATGTCGACTGCGGACCATCCGCAGACGGACGGGCAGACCGAGCGCGTGAACCGCGTGCTCATAGACGTGCTTAAGAGCTACGCTCACTCGTTCCAACACTGGAGCGAGTGCCTGCCGATGGCGGAGTTCGCCATCAACAACTCGGTACATGCCTCGACCGGGCATACGCCGTTCTACGTGAATGTCATAAAGCCCCCACGCCTCCCGAGTCTACTCGGGATGGTGGCTCCTTCCTTAAGTGGGGGAGGATCGCAGCCGCAGAATGCCGCTGACACTTGCGCAGTGTCAGCCGCGACTACGCGCAAATAGAACAAGAAGCACGCGTCTGTGCAGGGCACAGACACCGACAAGAGCAAGAAGAAGAAGATGAAGAAGAACGGGTCTGTGCAGGGCCCAGACACCGCGAAGACGAACGCAGAGGCCGGGCCTATTGCTAGAAACGAGCTGAACGAGTTCAGCTCGGACGCGATCAACTTCGTGCAGCGCAGACAAGCCGTCATTCGATTTGTCCAAGACGCTATTGCAGCTTCTGTTGATCGACAGAAGCTGAACGCAGACAACGTTGGCAGGGGGAACACAAATGAATTCAAGAAGGGTTCATTGGTTTTGTTAGCTACTACTCTGGCCCACTTAAGAAACAACATTTCTATTAAACCTCAACTTTTTCAGATCGCATTGGATTGACTATAAATCGGACTTAAGCCACATGATTGGACATAAAGTTCGACTGGACGGCAAATCGACGAAATCGATTAGTAAAACCTCAAAATATATACGAGCACCACAACGCCCACAGGTGCGCTATCATATTCTACGATGGTTCTCCGCATCGGCAGTTAAGTGATCTTCCCAATGGTACCTATCACTTTGAATATCGCTAAAATTTGTAGCCATTACGCAAAAAAACCTAATGTTACCCAAATCCGGGTTTAGAAAACTTGCTCTGTTTCCTTGAATCCTGCTGTTTTCAAGCAGCCAATGAGCTGACGCGAAAACACCAAATCTCACCTTTATTTTGAGGTATTGTTTACCCCCAACTGATAATTTTTGATTTTTGTTTGACGGCCAGATAGAAATGTTGTTTCTTAGGTGGGCCAGACGAGTACTCAAAACCTGCCTAAGCATGCAGTTTCCGACTTCGGGGCGAGCAAGCTCGCTCCGCGCTTCATCGGGCCGTTCACGGTGTTAACACGGCATGGCAACGCCTACACGCTAGATATTCCATCTAGCATGCGCCTCCATCCGACCTTTTACGTCGGGCGGCTGAAGCCATACCGGCAGCACAAGCCACCTAGCTCGGCTGGCCCGAAGCGGAAGCCCCGGCGGGAGCGAACCTCTGCTCCAGCGCGTGAACGCGCTGGGCCAAGCGCACGACGCGACCTCCCACGTCGACAGAGATGTCCGACGCGGTCTGCGAGCCCTGAGCGACTTGAGCCCTCAGGATCGCCACCTCCTGCTTCAGAGCGGCGAACTCCCGGCTCTGATGCTGCTCCACTGCAGCGACCCGATCCTCGAGCGTCGGACCAAGGTCAACCCCAGGTTGACCATACCCGTGACGTGTTCCCACCACCGCCGCCTCCGATCCGCGACGCCCGCGGCTCAACACGCTAGATTGTTGAGTGTATTGTGAACCATAGTATCCCGAAAACGAACCGGCAGCCGGTTCGTTATCGTATTCGTTGGAGAGGGTTTCCGCCCCACCAAGATACATGGGAGCCGCGGGACGTCCTGCTGTAGGACGTTCCGGAAATGGTGAGGGAGTACGGAGCTCACCACGCACTGCCGACGCGAAGGTAGTGCGAGCGCTGTGGTCACCTACAGCGCCCGAAGTCCCACGGTTGTCGCATTATTCGCGTGCCAAGAACTTGGCACGGAGCTCCTTGATGCTCGCAGGTACACGAATCGTCGTGTACCCGTTTAGGTCGCGGTCGCTCAAGCGCACCGCACCCGGAAGACACAACGTGCACTGTTGGCCTTCGGGCACAGCGCACGGAATACCAGCGTCCACAGAGGATCTGTGGAGCTGCTCCAGCCGCCCGTGCGTCGAGAATGTCTCGAAGCGTTCACGGGCATGCTTAACCCGCTCGCGGTAAGCAGCCGGTTTCTTGTTGAAGTTCTCAACAAAAGCGTTCCAACTTTGACAAAGTGCCTGCCACTCAGGCACTTTGCTGCGAGAAGAAGTTTTCTTGCTGGAGAAGTATCGGAGCTCGTGGAAGAGCCCGATATAATAATCGCGCCTTTGATTCGTTAACGGATCAAAGTGCTGCTCCTCCGCAACAGCATCGTCGTGGATCCCGCTGCATACGTACAGCGGGATTTCGTTTGGAGGCATAGTGTTGCCAACACGGTCTGCGATCTCTGACGCAGACGGCATCCACGGATCGTTCGCTGCCTTGGCAGCGCGCGGAGAGCTTGAAGTCGCCACCTCACACGGGGAGCTTAAAGCCCCAGCAGCAGAGAGCGGAGTTTCTTTCTCGCCGCGCGAACGCTTCGAGCTCGGAGCGTCCGAGTCGTCTCCTTCACTAGCGCGTCTCGACCCGGCATGCGGGTCGAGACTATCGCTGTCGATAGACTCCTTGCGCTTGCTAGAAGAGGCCTCGCCTTCTTCCATCTCCACGACGCCGTCCTCGAAGTCAACGGCGTCGTTGACTACAGAGGAACCTTCGAGGACAATCTCCGGTTGAGTTGTCCCCGCCGCAGCCTTGGTAGCAAGAGCGTCACGCTTTGCTTTGTGACGCTCTAGGTACTCGGGGATATAGAGAGTCTCTATCCCGGCGGAGGTATTCCCCTCTGCTTCAGCGGCGGTCTTCTTCTGAGGCGAGCTCATTGCGGAATGAGCTCGAGTTTTCTTTCTCCCAACGTGAAGAATTGACGAATGGTCAGTTTCCTGATTGACGTGCCGTGACTCGGCGCGCCTAACCTTGACCAATGAGCGACATGCATAGCTTTGGAATTCTGCCAACCAGCCGTTGGCAGATTCCTAACTTAGAATATTACATTTAGAGGAAGTCAGAAAGGATAAAACAAAAATAGAAGTTCTCATTTCAACCCAAAAGCATTATTTGGATCGTTTATTTAGATTAATCTATACTCGGATGCCCGAGTATAATTAACTCTAGTTTATACTAAGCTACGCATCCTCACACACGTGCGCACACGTGTAAGCTAAGTAGTGAGCCAAAGTAGGCCCATTACACGCGCAGCGCTTGGCTGGGCGCCCCTTCGGCGCCCCGCTGTTCGCTTCGCTCACGACATGGAGATAGAACATTCTGGTTAGTACAGTCCTCGGCTCGTAGGAATGCTCGACGCTGGACCCTCCTCCGCAAAAACTGCGCGGTCCTACTGCGCGGGCACCCCGCGCGGGTTTGCTGTGGCTACGCGACCTCGCAACCGCTCGCCTCCGCTGGTAGGCCGCTACCGTGGTAGTAACACTGTTATTTTGTCCATCTGCGGTGTAGTCGCCAATACATTGGAATGGATCCTTGAGGAGGTAGTTCCAACTAAACTCAAATGGCTGCATCAGTACGTCTTGATAGTGTAGCCAGAGTTTTTACAGACTTCTTACGGCATGCACCCATTCTGGCTGGTCTGATTTGACGGCGTAGTTCATTAAATCAGACTTGTTGTCCCAGCAAATCAGGTTATTCGTCTGTGGAGAGGCGGGTGCCTATCATCGATCATCGACCACAATGCCTACCTAAAAGCCCACTAATGCATGCAATCACACGGTGCGTCATACGAAGGGTCGCCACCTGCGTTACATAAAACTTTGCCCTCATTTTAGTGACTGTTAGATCGCTGATGAAAGGTAGCTTTCACGATTTGCTGTTGTAAAGGGCCGTCATTTGAACATTTGTGTTCGTAAAAAAGTGGTAATTTTCGCTCGAAATCGTCCGGACGGGGAATGATAATGGTATCCCCTAACCCGTTTTCTATATATGTCTGTTTATGGATGTAAAAAGGGTGTAAGGTGTAGTAAATCAGCGTAAGAAGTCTAGGGGGGGGCTTTGCCCCAAAAATGCTTTGCTTAAAGACTAAGACCTAACAAACTACACGCACGACACGCTTCAGTGGGTCTCACGTCTTGCTGCCAGAACTGAGACCCACTATTGTCAATAGTGGTAGTCAATAGCGCAGCAACAAGAAGGATTTTTTCTCGCAGCAAGATGGAAATATTTTTGAAGGCTCTGATTGGTCAGAATAATTTTCGCCTTCCTGCGCCAAAAGTCGCACAGCTAGGTCTCACAGCAACAAGAAGATTTTTTTTTCGTGGAAGCAAGGTTTGGCGGACCGCAATCGTGGACGGCTGACACACGGAGCGCGTTCACGCCTACGGGTGTTCACCGTACGCATGCGTCTACACCTGTCTACATCTGCAGGACCCATACGCCTTGCCACGACCACGCGCGCGCCTCTTGCTTGGCCAGAGCTTCTCGTGCGAGCTCATCAGCCACGGCAAGTGCATGCAGATGGACTCGTGCCTCGTGTTATCAAACCTGACCAGCAAGCTGCTGGAGAGCGGCGTGCACGGGGTCATGTGTGGCGCAGTGGGGATTGGACTCAGGTTCGTGTGCGAGTCGCTGACTGTGGAGTTCATCGGCATCTAATCTGCATTTGCAGGTGTCCTTAGTAGCTTACAGGTACCAGTCACCATTGCATCCATGGTGCGTCAACGCTGCCCAAGACCAATGACGTGTGCTCATAAGGCAACGCGCTGAGGCTGTGCTGGCGGGTTTCGAGTAAGTGCTCTTGTGGATGCGTGAGCAGGTCTTACATGTAGCTGAGTTGGAGGCCGTGTTGACGTCAAAGGGTTAGGATGACGTGCCCAGGAGAGCGGTGAGACCATGCATAGCTGCAGCTCAGGATGCCACGCGGCTCCAACCGGAGACGCGATTGCGCAACAGGATAAGTTTGGTGAGCTCGAGAAATTCGTGGAGGAGCGGGACAAGAAACACCGACGCAGCCGTTGTGGGTTGGCGCAGCAGCAGTAGAATAGACACAGTTCGTATGGGCGCGAATGCCATAGGTATAACCGTAATAATGCATTCGTAGAGCTCCTAGTTTTGATGAAGACAGCAACTCTTGAAATGCTCGCTATCCTCTCGGGCAAAAGCTTGACAGTAAAAAAAATGCGTGAGGGGGGGGAGTCAAGGCTCTATTTGAGGGTTATTTTTGTCCTATAGTAGCCTGATATGCAATGAGCCGACTTCGTTTTTTGCGCTCTTCCGCCCAACCAACGGACACCAACGAACTACGACCAACCATGTCTGCCACCGTGATCCCCTCGGTGGGGCCATCGATGGCTGAACACCTCCACGGCCTGCGCGGCGGTGCTCGACCTGACTTTCAGGAACCACTCCCCTCGCCTGCGCAGCTTCAAGAGCTCTTCGACCATCACCGGGCTGATGTTCCCCTTGAGGACTTCCTCCGTCGGGTGTGTGAGACTCGGCCTACTGGCACGGCCACTGCCACCTTTCCATTGATGCTTGACTCCGGCAACTTCTTCCAAGGGGTGTCGATGCCACGCATCATGGACTCTCTTATTCGGGACAACGGGAACTCGGTTCTCAAACTTCTACTGCGTGAGCATGCTTTCGGCGCGATCGACAAACGCCGAGATGGCGGCTTACGCATCCTGGTTCGCACAAGCGAAGCGCAGCAAGCTTTGAATGGCGAAGAGGTATCGATCATGGGGAGGAAGTTCCGGATTGGGCTAGAATCGCCTCTGGCTCAATGCTTCTTCCTTGATGTGATCGGCCTCACTACCGCGGAGGAGGCACTCACCGTGTTCGGGTCCCTGGCCTCTCGTGGGGCAAAACCTGTGTACTTCCGACCTGCTGCCTACGATAAGGTCTCAGGCCTTTGCTCTACAACGTGGCGTTTCTACTTTCCAGGGGAAGAGGCTCCACCAAGCCTCTTCCGCGATGGGAGCCTACGCTCCTACGTCCGTGTGGGGAGGAAATCCTACCGATGCTTCGGTAAGAATGACGCGTCTGGGGGCCGACCTCGCCGTCAAAACCCGCCGGGGGAAACCCCGGCACTGCGTGTGCATCAGCGCACGAGAGAATCAAGTGGTGACGACGGACCCACGGCTGCAGTCACCGGAAACGCAGCTGCGGCCACGCCAGCTCCTTCAGATCCAGGACAGACTGTAGGAAGCTGTACCGTCGAGTCACTCACCCCAGCCTGAGGAGGGTGGTGGGGTGCCGACTCAGTCGGCAGACTCGCGCGCACGCTCCATCTTGGGCAGGGAGGTGGTCGGTGCGGTGGAGCCGGTCCACGATGACGAGGCAATGCTGGAGCAAGTCTCGGGGGGGGAAGCGCGCTCACTCGCCGAGCCATTCTCCGCCTCGCTCCCCAACGTTGCGGGTTAAAAATCGCTTTAACGTACTTGACGATTTCGACGGCGATGCCGACCTAGAAGTCGCCACAGCCAACGAGGAGGACGCTGTCATCTATCCGATTCTGCCTAGGGTGTCTGCAGCTACTAAAGCCCGAGTCCGCCACCGCTTCATGTCGAAGCGCCCAAAGCACTCGTCTGGTTCCCAAGACCCCGACGCCGATGAAGCCATCACCAAAGCTCTGCAGGAACTCGAGGAGACATCGCTAACAGCTCAGCGGCAGTGGACGCCGACGCCATAGGGGTGGCCGAACGCCACGTCGAGGCGGTCAAGTTGGAGTTATCCAGGGCCAAAAGCGCGGAGAGTCTACTTAATTCGATAGTGGCGGCTCCTCATGCCTGGCAACTTGCACTCCAAGCTTCCGAGGTGGTCGATCAGTTCGAAGACTTCATCTCGCTACACGCTCTGAACCGGCAATTGCTCCGCCTGCCAAACGCCAGCTCCAAGTCGTTTACAGCACGGCTCGCGACTGTCGATCAGTTCCACTCTGGGTCCCGCTCTCAACTCATTGCCTCTATCACAGCTGCGGCAGGGTCATCCGAAGAAGGTCGCACTGGCTGGCTCCACGCGCGATGTGTCAGTCTCTTCGAGCTACTATTGATTCTTATGGCTACTCACACGTTTCGAGACGACTCGTGGCTCGCCATCTTCGCGACCAGCTCCCCGTCCTTCTTGAAGCGTAAAGGGCTGCGTCTTCTGGCGGAAGCCACGCTGCGAGATCTGATCCACTCCAGCTACGGTGTCACGGTTGTCACGGAAAGCCTTCTTCGGCTGCCAGGCCTCGCCACTCTACTCGAGCTCTCTGGGTTGCAAGCTTCCGCCGACACGGTCCGGATGGACCTGACGCTGTCAGAGGTGAACCCAGCGACGGCCGACCAGGATATGGGCCCCGACCACAGCTAAGGTCTTGCCGGACTGGCATAACCTCAGCGTGCTCTCCGCCAATTTGAACGGGATATCTCCAACTGGCACGGAAGTGGCCCACCTCGCCCGGCGCCATGCCATTGTGTGTATCCAGGAATCCAAGCTGCGTGATGCGTCTCAAGCCTCGACATCGCGTTTCGTGGTGGAGGCTTCGGCCAAGCGCAAAGCTTTCATCAATGACAGGGACGAAAATCACTCGGGCTCAAGGGCCACTCGTAGCGGTGGCATCGTGACGGTCATTGACCCCAGCTTACCCGGTTTATCATCTGCGAAGGAACTTGTTCAGCACCGTCGCGAGGGCAGATACTCAATCGTACGACTGGTGATCGGGCCTTCGGTGGTGTATATCCACAACATATATGCCCCCAATGACAGCAGGGAGCGCAATAACTCCTTCGCAACGTTACCTCGGTCTTTCCCTGAGGATGTTGTCCACATTGCGTGTGGCGACTTCAACTTGACGCTGAACCCCTCGCTTGACGCGCTACGACCCGCGTCAGACCCGAGCCAAGCTGAATGTCGGGACTGGATGACTGCCCTGGCACTGGAGGACTGTTGGCGGACCCATCATCCAGCGGACTATGTTTTCTCCGGGCCCACAAGGGCAAACAGGATAGACTACATCGCCGTCTCGGAGGACCTCTGCACTTATCAGTACGCTGACTCCGCGTACGTGAACCTGGACAAAGGAGGAGATCACCTCGGCGTCCAGCTCCAGCTAACCAGTTGGCATCATCCACGCGGTCCGGCTTCATGGCGAGTGCCCCGGTGGTTACTCGACAACGAAGGTATCCGAGAGGAAATTCGTACGGCGGCCGCCGAGCTGCTGCGTAGCCTCCCTAGCTCTGACAATCCAGGCGTCCTCTGGTCAGCCTGGAAATACCGGGTCCGTAAGTACCTCCAACGCCAATGCAGTTTCCTCCGCGCGCGAAATCGTCATGTTCACGACGCCCTTGTCCGCCGTCTGGAAAGGCTGTCATCGCTGCGAGCAGTGGACTCCTCCCCAGCGGTGGCCATCGCATGGTATAGTGCCAAGCGGGACGTCGAACTCATGCTGGAGGAACGTGAAATCTACAGGAGAAGCTATCGATTTGACTATTTAGCGACTGCACTGGATACCAACTCGTCGGCCTTCTTTCGTCCACCGGAGCCTGCGCGGCGGGTACCGCTCGATCGCGTCGAGCTGCAGGATGGGACCCTATCCACGGATCCGGCAACCATCTACGAGACTTTCCAGCAGAAATGGGGCTGTATCTTCGGCGATAAACGATTTGTCACGGACTCACAAGACGTCGCTGTCGACCTGTGTGCTCAGGACCAGCTCGTCAATGCAGTGGAAGATGTGCTTGCACCAGCCGAGGCTCTGGACCTCGACAGCGAGTTCACCACAGAGGAATTTACAGAGGCAATCATTTTGATGCGGAGCGACGGTGCACCGGGCCCCGACGGATTAACGGCACGCTTCTATCAAATCGCTCCAGACATCTTTGGGGAAGTTTTGGCTCGGGTATTCGACGGTCAGTTCCAGCGCGGCACCACCAGAACCTTTTCGAAGTCTTCTTGCTGCACAAGAAAGGGTCGAGAGCGCGTGTGGAGAACTACCGACCGATATCGTTGATGCCAGTGGAGGTAAAAGTGCTCTCCAGGGTTCTCGTCGAGCGCTTAAAGCCTCTGATGCACAAGTTGGTCCATGAGAACCAGCAAGGTTTCATCCCCGGTCGCTCGCTCCATCACCACCTGTTGTTGCTTTTGGACCTGCAAGCCTTCTGCCAGTCCACGGGTCAATCGGTGTTCGCCGCTTTTCTAGACTTCGAGAAGGCTTATGACCGAGTCGATTGGAAGTATTTGCTTCGTGTCATGGAACGACAAGGGTTTGGTCCCCGCTTCCTCAAGTGGATCCACATTCTTTACTCGAAACCAGCTTGCTCCCTCATGCTGGACGGCTGGAGCCAACCCAAATTATTCCCGTCTCGTGGTGTGAAGCAGGGTGATCCGCTCTCGCCGTACTTGTTCCTGCTGGCAATGGTCCCTCTGGGAGTGATGCTTCGTCGTCAACCGGGCGTTGGTATCCCTCTGCCTATGCGCCGCATTGCTACAAGCCTCTTCTTCGCGGATGACTCGTTGCTCCTCGCAGCGTCCATCGAGGGGGTACACGCCCAACTTTTGACAGTCCAAGTCTATTGCGCGGGCTCCGGAGCCAAATTAAATGCCTCCAAGTCAAGACTGCTTCCGCTGTCTGGCACCTCCGCCAGGATAACTTCGGCTCCGCTGCCGGTAGTCGCAGCCGATGAACGTGTTCGATACCTAGACATCGACTTCGGGTATAATGTTAACGCCGAGGCCACGGAGCGGGACCTTGACCAGAAGCTGAGTCAAGCACTGCGACGGTGGCAGTATCGCGCCCGCACTTTCGAAGGCCGCAAACTGATAGTGACGACGATGGTACTCTCCTTGCTCTGGTACAAAGCCCTTCATCTCGTCATCCGTCCGACCACGATCCACAGATGGCAGCGCATGATCATTGACTTCGTCGTTTACAAGAAAGTACCACCCGCCTCAGCTCGGATCCGCCTTACCACCGCAGAATTGGCAGTGACTCCGACAGCGCAAGGAGGCCTCGGTGTCCCAGAACTCGCCTTGTTCCTCACGCGCCACAAGATGCGACTATTCCAAGAGTTTGCAGCGACGGTCGAATTGTCGACCACATCTGCGATTCCGCTCTGGGCAGTTCTCCCCCTTTGGGCCGCCTACGGCGGTGAGATTTCACACTCGACCCGTCTCGACGACATATTCTACCTATCCGCCCGTGGTCGTCAACCTGGCCACGTCACGTCATGGTGGAAATGGGCGTGGTGCCAGTGGCATGAACTAGCTCCACGTATGCAACAGCCACCGATGCCCAACACCCTTCATCAACGCCGTCTTCTCCACGCGCCGCTGTGGTGCAGCATCCTGCCACGCTTGCAAATCCCATCAAGCTCACGAGACCATTTCGAACCTCTATCCGACGGACTGCCGACATTCCACGCCTTCTGCGATCAACTGGAGCGTCTCGGTTACCGGTCTCTCTTCGACTTTCTGGAACCTATTGGAGCCACTTTCTCTCTAGCTGACTTTATGCACTGGTTTCTCGGCCGCCATGAACTGTTCCGGTTTCGTGATGCCCACGCTTTGTTGATGAGAGTCTTTCAGAGACTGTCCGTGGTGATCCACGCCATTACAACCAGCACCGGTGGTCTACTCGTCGTTCTCCAACGTCCAGACTCAGTCGCCGGTCTACTCGGCGTCACGACACAGTCACGCTTTCGGTTCTTTCCTCATCTCCGCAAGCAAGATTGGACCGCGCTCCGAGCCAAACGCCTTCATTGCGAAGTTAGCGCGCTCAAAGGTCACTCCAACCGACTGGCGCTAGTCAAGCGATGGATGCTGCCTACCACATACGACATCCAGTTTCGGGTGCTCCATGAGCTGATGCACGTGAACAGCAAGCGTTTCTTTCTCCAAACCGGACGCCGCGACCCGACCACCTGCCCCAGACAAGATTGCTACCAGCGCGAGAGTCTGGCCCACTGCTTTTGGCTCTGCTCACCAACTCAGCAGACGTGGTCTGCACTACGTCCAATCTGGTCCCTGCTACTCCGTTGCACGCCCTCCTGGTTGGGCTTTCTTCTCGGGACCACGGAGCTGCTTCACTCGAGCTGGGCAGCGCACCACGAACTGGCATACGGCTTGTGGCTGATACTCCGCGGCATTTTCATACGAGCCACCTGGATCAACCGAACCAACGACGCTTTCGGTCGGGAAGCTGCTAGCCCCAAGGTCATTGCTGCCGGCGTCAAGTCCTCCTTCATTGCCCATTTGCGCTCGCTCAACCGTCGACGCCACATGATCAAGGTCGACACAGCCACTCTGTACTCCTTCATCCAGCGCCTTGTCTCCGGCCCTGAGGATGACTCGACGAGCCGCTGCGCGGATACTCCACGCCCCAGAGTGCCGCTCTGGATCGCCCATCGTTAAGATGCATATTTCCGTACTCAGTCAAATCAGCATCAAACGAGGTCCACCCGTAATAGAACTCCTTTCAAGTCAAGTGCAAGAAGCCGTGACTGGAGTGATCCGACCGGCTGTCTGGTGGGGGTGGCAAAGCAAGGTTGAAGATCCCTTGCCGTTCGTAGGAGGTAGCTATGCAGCGGTGTGAGCGTTGCCTCTGGTGTCATGCATCGGAAGTCGTACGTCGTGTTCGTTCGGATCTTCGCCAGAAGAGTCGCTGGACGCAGCCGCTGTAGTGGTGGTTTGCCCCACTGCACCCTGAAGAGTTGGCCGAGGAGCTCTGCAAGCGAGTCTGGGTGAGTGATGTACGTCTTCTGTGGAGTACATCGCGCTTGGACTCCGATAATGTTCGTATGATCTTCTATGCGCATGTAGGTGGTTGCGGGTGTGGCGACGTGGATGAGTTCCTGGAGTGCCTGGATGATGACCTGTCGTGCGTTCTCTCGACTGGAGTTACCAGTTGCAGTTCCCATACTGCCTGCTCTGTGAACTGCCCAGGACCCGTCCCGTAGTTGCTGATACAGGATCCACCCTCCGCCTGCGGTTGCTTGCTTCGGTGTGCTAATTGCACATCGTACAGCCAATACTCGATGGCTGGCGTCCCAGTGCTGGTGTCCACTGTCATCAAAATGCTTAAGCATGTTTCTAAACACCATGCCTGGATTCGGGTCTTGTTCGATTTCTTCCAGGCCGCTCCAATTGCTTGCAGTTGGTAGATTCCTGCTGACCAGACTGCAGCGCTGGTGTCACTCGGGGAAGTTCGTTCATTGTTGAAGACAACATCGTTTCTCAGGCGCCACAGCAAAACAGGAGACACTGTAGCCCAGACCCGCCATATCGTCGTCATTGCTTCATCATGGTGGGGTGTCCAGGCTGGTATACAGTGCTAAAAAGTCATGGGTCGTGCCTGGAGCTGTTCGTGTTGCAAGTGCCGCTTGAAGTTGTGTCATTTCGCTGCGTGGACATGCTCTGCCGAGCCACTTCGAAACCCAGCGTTGCCAAGCTAGCTGGGCCAAGTCCATATGATGTGATCGATTGTTTCAGCTTGGCATGAGCACGTGGGTTCTGGACAATCACGATGAATTGGCCATCCTGAGTGGAAGAGGTTGAACTCCCCGATTGTGATACGGTAAATAGTCCAGCATTGATACTCCGTGAAAAGTCCTCGCGATTGCCAGAGCTGGATGGGGCTCCGTTGCAGAGCAGCTTTGCCCCACGTAGAGTGTTGCTGTCTCCAGCGGAGCTTGTCAAGGATAGGCTGCAGCGGGTGTAGCAGTTTGAGTCGTATTATTCTGGAGCGCTGCTTGCGGAGTGCTGCAGTGACCAAGAGGCCTCGGGTATTTGCTGGCACCTCCCATGGGTAAAGTGCGGCGCGTGGCGTCGGATGTAGCACCAGTCCTCTCATTTGCTCCCACGCTTTAAGAGCGGCAATATCCGCCGAGGCCTCAATGCCCGCGGCTGTGGTTGCTATATGCCAGGTCCGTCCGTCCGTGTTCCGCTGGAGTGTTAGCGCTGGTCGTATGGCTCCTTCAGTAGTGTATGATGCAGTTACTAAACTGCAGCTGGAAGAAATATTCCAAGCCCAGTCTAGAGAGAGCGTGGGGAGTTCCAGAAGCCGCAATTGTCGATCAGGAATGGCCCAGTAGTTCCATGGAATGTTATGTACGATGATCTTGCACCAATCAAGTACATGTTGGAGCTTTCTGCTTGTCGTTCGGGCTGGTCTGATGAGAGTTCCTGCGGTCGAACCTGAGCTGCGTCCACTTGGAAACATGATGCTGATGTCCCGTGTACGCCCAGGCACGATGGTCGGGTAATCTTGAGCATTGAGAGGTCGTCCTTTGGCGTCTAGGATGCAAGCGTTGTTGTCCCATGGCGCATTCAGCATGAAATCTGCATGGAACGGTGGATTGGCGTGCCATGGTGTAGCACTTGTTTCTACGAGCACCTCTGCTGAGTCTTCTCCTATCCAACAGCAACTGGAGACTTCCGGCCCGGATGACAGCAAGTTAGTCAGTCTAGTCATGGTTTCCGTGGACGAAACTAAAAGCCGTGAGTGGACTTCCCAAAGCTCTAGTTGTTGCGCTGAAATCTGTGGTTGTCCAGCTCGCAGCGCTGTCGCGATCATGGTCGGTGATGTAGGTCGAAAGGCGATCGTTGTTGCTTGGGGTGCACCAATGCATGCTATGCTGCGAAGTAGACATCATCCGGAGCGTGGAGCCATGTGTCCGCCAAGTTGCTCCGTGCGACCGTAAGTGAGGTCGCGATATCCTGAAGCCCAAGACCCCCATATTGATGTGGGGTGTAGACGAGAGCTGGGTTTAGCTTGTGACTTACCGGTTCCGTTCTTGTGGTAGCTGCTCATACGAATCCCTTCTGCAGCCTCGTAAGTTCCAGCAGCCTTTCCTTTGACGGTACAAACTGCTTCCCAGTATAGAGGATCGCTGCAAGTGCGATAGCATTGAAGAGGGTTACTCTCTGGGTGATAGAGTTTCCCATGGTAGCTGCGATGCGAAGTCGTCGTTGAATGCTCTCAATACGAATGGTTCAGTTGCGCTCGTTGGTGTCATGGTTGCCGATCCAGTATCCCAGTTGCCGGGTTGTCGCTGTGGGTGCTAATACTGGAAACCCCTGCCAGCGTGCTGGAGCCTTTGCTGTGTTAATACCGATCAGGACACTCTTTTGAGGCTGCACTTGGAGGCCTGATAGCGCACCAAATTTCTCGAGAAGTGGTTTAATGACGTCAAGCTCTGTAATTGACGTCATGAACACCGTGCTGTCATCGACGAACGCCGAGAACCTATGCCGGCGCTTGGAGTTCCCTAGGATTGGCGCACCAGCTAGTGCAGGGTGTTGGTTGACGGCGTGTGCCAACACCTCTAATGCAAGTATGAAGAGTAGCGGGACTACCACAGTTGACTGACCAGGGTTGAGATAGGTTGCCATTCACTAGGAATTGCGCCGTTGTTCCTTCATGAAGCGCCAAGATCACATCGAGGATTTTGCTTGGGAATCCGTAGCTCCGCAGAACGAGCTGGAGGAATTCACGCGACAGCGTATCGTAGGCTTTGCGAAGGTCGAGGCACAGGACACCAGGAGAGTCTTCCCATGGCGTTGTCGGGTCGCCGAAGCTGGTTGACAGGAGTGCCCGTAGTATTATATCGGTTTTGTCGATATTTCTTCCACGCACGAAGCCTTGTTGGGAGTTGCTGATGATTCGAGGCAGGATGGCGTGGAGGCGCTCAGCGAGAATTCTACCAAGCACTTTGTACGCGGTGTTAAGAAGTGCTATCGGTCGATAGTCCATCGCATCGGCTGAGTCTCCTTTCTTGCGTAGAGGGATGATCGTAGCTCGGAGAAACGAGTCAGGCACCCCGTTTCCGTTAAGGATGTCATTGTGAGCCGCGTCAAGCTCGGGGTCAACTCCTCGGAAAAATCCTTGAAGAAGTCATGATTGAGCCCTGTTGTCCCTCCCGTCTTAGCTGTTCAATCGCAGCCTTCGTTTCCTCTTCGGTGATAGGTTGGATTAGCGCTTCTACCTCCAATTTCTTGAGTCGGCTCTCACGCGGTATTGTCACGAAGCGCGTAAATTCTTCCTCTAAGCTGCTGGATTCGATCGTTGCATGGGATGATCCGAGAACGTGATTCCATTCTGAGGCCATGCGCTCTTCGGTTGGCATGTCGTCGGGGTAAAAGTGCCCTAGGGACGGCCGAATCATGGATACATGTTGGTTGCGCTGCCATTCCGAGTTGCGTTTGAAGAGTTTTCTTGCTGTCTCGGGTGTGTGTTGGATACTGTTCCCGAAGGAACTCGCAGCTTTTAGTCGAGCAGATGCGTCGAGGTCCTGTTGGATCTCTGACTTGGAGGCCATCGGTGTTCGTGTCGCTGCTCTAAGACTTTCGAAGTACCGTTGCGTCTGCTTTCGGTCTTGGCGGCTAGTATCCAGAAGGAGCGACTGGATGTCGACAACGAGCTTGTCCCAGTGTGCAGCCGGGCTGTCGGTCTTGTCAAAGTCGTCGAGCAACTGGACTAGGCCACGTTCCATACTTTATCGTACTCGCTCGGGCCTCCCACTTAGTATGGGGTATCGAATCTGTCTCTTTGAACGCTGATGGCGAAGGTCACCTACCGTGAGTCCCACCCGGACTTCCTGGTGGTCGGAGTTATGAGCCGGCGATATGGCCTCCACCCATTGTACTGCTGTGTAAGGACTTCCCTTGACGTAGAAGCGGTCGAGACGACTAGCCCCATCTTTTCTCCAAAAACTATAGTGATGGAGGGGGTCGGCTATTTATAAGTATATTTTTAACTAATTTTTTATTTCAATTCTTTTTATAAATTCTATTTTTATATTACAAAAAAATTATCAATCTAATTATAATATACTCAATTTAATAAAAAAATATAATTTGACTATCACTGTAATCATGCTTCCTGCTCCTCCTCGTCGATTTGGTATTTGAGCGACACCGCGTCGGTGAGGTCGTTGTCTCGCAGCAGATCACGTAGAAGAGGGCTTTCACAAGAAGCAGTGCTCGGTTTCCTCGATGTCACTCTGTCGCATCGTGGCTCCAGCACACAGTTGAAGTCGCCACCTACAATGATGGACTCGTGCTGTTGAAACCAAGGCTCTAGCTCCGAGAAGACTCAAGCCGTTCATCTGGGTCTGTAGGAGCGTAGATGTTAACGAGAAGCCAATCGTCTAGCTCCACGGCCATCACCCGGTTAGTCCAGCTTTCCCGCTGCCACGGCCGAACTCTGATACTAACTTTTGGCGTGCAAAGTATCCCCACTCCTGCTGACACCGACTCTGTTGTCGTCTAGTAGCTCAGAGGATGCTCCGGCGCCGTCCGTTGCCACGTCCTGCTCCAGCGACGTTGTGCCTTTTGTACCTGCTCGACGGTGTGTAATCGAGCATCTTGCACCATGATGATATCGGGCTCCGTTCGCCCCCGATGTCGTTTCCACCCGCTGAACCAGTGCCTTCGAGCTTTCTTTGCAAACCCCATGAGATTTTGAGTCGCAATTGATATCGTTTGTCTTGTTTGTTTTCCAGATAACTTTCGAGCTGTCGCAAAGAGGGTTGAAATGTTGTAGAGCTCGCTGAAGTAGTCGGCTTCAGGAGGCTCTGCTCTCACGTTACATTCCTGAACCATAGAGATTAGTGTTGCATCGGAGTATCTGCTCCACCCTGCTGGGACTGCGGTGTTCGCATCGCCAGCGTCGTTTCGATAATGGCCCAGCTCTCGAATGACTGAGCCCGGTAGAGCGCACCATGTAACACAGGTTCACGTTCGAGAACGTCAAAAAGTAACCCGAGGTGCTCGACAACTGAGGTGAGAGCGCCAGGAGGTTTTGACGCTAATAGTCGAAGTTCTGCTTCATAAATGAAGGAGGCAACTACCATCTTCGAGAGGATTGGAGCCTCACTCTTTTGGTACAGCTGAAGCAACTGGGAATCACCGTAGCTCGCTGCCTTCAACGAGTTCCAAAGCGCCGGTGCGTGCAGGTCCAGTGCGTCTGGGTTACTGCTGGCTAAGCCTCTCAGCTCGGCACATCGCTCCAGCAGCCACTTTGCGCGACCGTCCTCCAGGCCTGGCTTGGCTGCCCAACTTTCGAGGCAGTGGACTAAGCAATCAAGACGGCTTTGTTTGGTCCATTTATCGAGGACCGTGTCCGTCATTGTGCTCAAGATGTATTCCGGTGATTCGAAGCTTTGGAGCAGCATGAGGAGGATTCGCGGCGCCTCTACGACGGCATTGTTCCAGCGTCGAGTGTCTGCTGGCACACTCGGGAATGGTGATGTGGTATCCATTTCCCACGCAGATTCCAACTTGTTCCACTCAGCTTGAAGGTGCTTTTTCCTCATTCGGTTGCTTCCTAGCTGCGAGTCAGCCCCGTGAAAGCGCCCGACGCCCGAGCTTCCTGTAGCGTTGGCAACCTGTGCTCGGCTGGTGACGTCCAAAGAGGGAGTTGGGTCCACACTCCGAACTGATCCACCGTCGTCGCTAGGGCTCGGTTCTGTCGGATGATTCTCCTGGCCGGCCTCATTTCGTCGTACTTTGTCTTGCCACGAAAGAAGTTGTGGTATAGTGATCCCGTGGGTTTCCGTCCAAGTGGTTACTGCCTCCGTATCGTCCCAGTCAAGGTCCCTAAGCTCCTTCGCTTGCTCAAGAGAGAGGTCTGCCCTCAGGGAAGCGCCCGGCTCCGAGGCCCTGCCACCTCCATTCTTCCCAATCTCCTGGGGTTGGTCAACGGTACGATGTTCTTCGCTCGGGCGAATGTCTTCACTGTTCACGTCACTCATGTGGACGTCGTCTGGAGAAGGAGCCGAGTGCTCAGTCTTCGTAAGGTCAACAATCTCCATAGTCGAGTCTTCCGTGGGCCGAGCCTTCGCAGTGCTGCAATGACTTCGGCGAGTGAAGCGCAGACGAGTGTAGTGCCGTCCAGCATATAGGAGCACGATGGGAGTTTCCGATCCTGCTTTTACAGCTAGATACGCCTTCTGTAGTGCCGAGATCCAGTCCTGTGGTTGCCTGATATCGTAGTTTCTCTCCTTAACCGATGCAAAGGTCTCCGACTGCTTGCTGACCATCGTCGGCAGAAAGATCTGGTAGCTGGTCCCTGGGGTGCAACAACTACGAAGATTTCTCGTTCCAGAACTTTTGTCATCATTCTGAGCGTCACTTCAGTGCCCCAGTGGCGGCTATCGATGTACGCTGCGAGCTTCGATGTTGATCCGCAGATAGCGTGCATGTAGTCCTTCAGACCTTGGGCTGTTTGTGACTCCGTTAAACGAGTGCCGTTGCTGGTCAGACCTTCATCTACTGAGCTGAGAATCGCTTCTCTGATATCGTGGGGAAACTCCTGGGCGAAGAAGTGATTCACTGCCGACCACATCCCCTTCTTCAGCTTGTCGGTGATGACCTCAAGAGCTGTAACGCTGGCCTTGTCAGTGAAGACCGGTTGAGGAGAGCCATAGTGACTGCGTAGTATTGGCAGTTCCCTGTTTTGGGCGTGGACACTTGCTCCAAGCCGCAGCCTTGGAGAACCTGTGTACCTGATACCTTCTGCGCGGCTACTGTGAACGAAGTGCATTGATCCAGTATCCCGTCGTCGTCCCGGATAAGTTTCGCCGTAATTTGTTGGTCGATGAGCCGTTGGTGTTTTTCCATTGCTGCTGTCTTCTGCCGGCGTTTACCTTTTATCTCGTCAGAGATGGAACGTCCTGCTGCGGCTGCCGGTCGGGGCTTCGGGTCAGGTGATGCGCATGGCACTTGGGTTGCTGGCTGGGTGGACCCGCTGGCCGCGACTACTGTTTCGAGGTGCTTGGCATCTCGTGACGAGCCGACTGAGCGCCATTCAGTAGTCGTCTTACGTTGTTCCTGCGTCGTACCGGGCGCGAGCGACACCGCCGCTGGCTTATCAGGTCGGGACAACAGCCGTACGGTGGCTGGCTGTGTCGGGAGAGTCCCGCCAGACTTTGGGAGGCCTGCTGCCTCATCAACCCAGTACTTGCTCAGCTCCGTAAAGCTCGTGATCGTGCTGACCTGCTGTGGGAGCTCTGCTACAGCCGCTCTAGTCACCGAGACGCAGTAGTGCTTCTTCCAGTAATCATCAGGTACGTTGCACTGGTTTCGAGTATGGCCGATAGCACCACATTTGAAGCATGGTGGTGCTCTCGAGCCACTCACGTGGTGCACAAGTATTTTTCTGCCTATCCAATCGATAAAGCGCTTGCCTTGAAGGAATGTCGGGCATAGCGAGCTCTTAAAAAGCACGTCCCATGTATCCGTCTGGAGCGTGCGGTGTTTCGTCGATGGTTCTTGCCAAGTCGTGTAGGAGGCAGATTTTTAAACAGGTCTTATGCAGGTCTGGTCTTTTTTGGTCCGTAGGACCAAAACAGGACCGAAATAAAATCAGCATCCAAATGGGACCTAAAAAAGACCCTACAGAAAACAAGGTTTTAGAAAAACTCTACAATTAAATATTCAAACGGAAAATAAATGTATTTTGTATTAAAGGGGATATTGCAAATGAAAAACCATACTGGACAAAAACTTCAACCCTGCTGTCAGATTAACTGTCAGTCATGCTAATCCGGCTTGTACTCTAGCTGCCCGGGCCGTCCGACTTGATGAACACCCCTGCCCCCGCGAGTTAATAACTCAGCCAAACGATAGAGTACACACTCGGTGGATCCGTCAGCACCAATAGTCTCTCCATGGTACCAACACTGTCATACAGGCGACTCACGAGGTCGCAACGCAATCACCATGGGCCCAACCAGCGCACCCAACGCAAGCAAAGCATCCAAACGGTACCAACTCTCGGACCAGCAAGCTTCACAGGATATCATTCAGTCTAATCAGGCCGAACGTCAGCGAGCCAACAGCAACCAAAGCATATGAGAAGAAGTCCACGCCGATCTTCGGCCCACCAGCTACCGCTATGCTCAAGTATGCACTAAGGCTAGACCAATTGTAGTTTTCCTTAAATTGCGGTCTTAGGGACAATCGAGAAGTTCATTTTGCGTACGTGGGATGTGGAGGGCGAGCTGCGAGCTAGCGCCCTGCTGGATGTCGATCACTGGATCACTATCTAGCTTCCTGCAGAGGCAAAGTACAAGCAAGTACTTCAAGTACCAAGTACCAAGGATCAGCGGTACATGCATACAAGACTACATGGACGAAGATAGCAGTAGATTCAGGCACGAGGACGTCTGAGCAACCCAGTTAGTTAAAGCTCATTAAGAAAGTCTAGCAATAGCGTACAGTCCGAGCAGCGTCGACGGTCCAGGGATCGACACCAGCAAGACACTCGCTCGCAAATTCAGACATTTGGGTTTCATATTATAATCTCCAGCTCTACTTCAATAGTGGCTGCCCTCTATAATCTATCACGATATTTTATATCAGGGTGAAGGGGGTCTAAAAATGGCTTGTTTCGTAGTGATATCATTTGGGTCTCGCCATCCAAACGGGACCGCTAGCGAAACCATACTGATTTTCTGTTCGGTCTCGTTTAGATGCCGTAGGACCAAAACAGGACCAGACCTGCATAAGACCTGTTTAAAACCTTACCGTGTAGGAGCCGTCGAACGCAGATAACGAGATACATTCAGTAGGCGGACGTGGTACCTTTCACGTTGCTGCTCGTTCCGGATCCCATCCACTCCAATCTGGCGAGCCCACACAGTCGCCGCTCTAGTTGGAGTGTCCACCGTGTCGGCGAACACTGCAGGGTGCTCATTGTGTAGGGGAAAGCGCCTACTACGGAACGGTAGAGATTGAAAGACCTGGCTCCACTTTGTAGCCATTTCCCTCGTCCAGAAGATCAGATGTACTGCATGACGCACTTCGTCGTAGCAAACCTGCTTCGTATCGCGAAGCATGGCTACAACTTTAGGCTTATCGTAGCCACCTCGTCCTGCGCCAAGTAGGATCATGCCGATCAATCGTTCGCGAGTCTGGAAATCAGGATAGACTGGGAAGTCGGGTTGTAGCAGAAGAACTAGGTCTCCTTCCACTTGAGCCTTAATAGTGTTTTGAATTACTCGGAGTGACGCGTTGCTGCAGATCCGCTTCAGGAATGCTGGTAGATGCTCGCACAGAATTGAACCCTCCAATAGTCCGCGAATCACTTCTAACTCCAGCTCCGTTGGTTTGCGCAGTAGCGCTGGGAAACCAAACGGCGTTTCACTCAATTTGCGTAGTTCCTCAATGTCTTGCGGAGAATACACCTTGCGTAAAAATCTGAACGATGATGCACCGGCCCCCGTCATTTCAACGTCCGTGTCAGCTGATTCGGCCTGAGGGAACAGTTTCTGAGACCATGGATCTGCTGTGGCTCCCGTCTTGACCTCCAACTCGCTAATGCGGAGATCGATTGTCTTGGTTAGAGATCGGTTGAGCACTTTGTAGATCGAACGGGTCAGATCGTGCATCGCGGCTCTCCATTTGCGCTCGTCCGGTCTCCCACTTCTCAGATGAGCGAGCAGGAAGCTGAGCATTTGGTCCGTCTCGTCGTCAGTGAGTTGCGGGTAGTGCTCGCGATCGGCTGGTAGTGGCTCCCTCGGGCGTGCATTGAATACCTCCGCAAACATTACTTCGGCATATTCAGTTGCGTTTACTACTTCTTTTGCCCTCTGAACGTCGAGTCCGGTAAGTTCACTACGCAAGTACGCGTACATCTCTGCGAACGTGAGCTGTTCGGCTTCGTCGTGGCCTGAGGTTGCGGCTTCATCGACCTCCGGCGCCGAGGCGGATGCTGCGCCCTCGTCCATGTCGACATCAGCGGTGTTACTTCTCGATAGGTTGGGGTTCTCCGGCGGAGTAGGCGATGTCACGTCGATCACTCCGTGATCCTCTACGCTGCCGTCTCCCTGCCGGTCCGGCGGCTTGCCGTGGTCCTCCATGAGGTCGTGTTCTCTCAGGTCCTGCGAATAGAGGATCGTATAGTTTGCCTAAGATGTTCTCGTGCGCTGGCTCTTTAGCACTGTGTTACTTCACACCTTCCGTTTTATGAAGGCTCCCCGGCCCCGAACACGTCGTCACTCTCGTCACGTCGCGGCTTGGCAGCAAATTCGGAAGTGTAAAAAAAATGCTTGTTGTTGCTAAAACTTCAATTTGGGTGGTCAATTGGCCTCGCTTTGATTGGCTACTGCGCATTTTGCTCTAAAAAATCATCTTGTTGCTGCGCAATTGACTACCCACGGCCAGAACGAACCGAACCTGAACTATGGTTCGGTCGTTTTTTCGCGAACCGAATAAACCTCAGAACCGCGGTTAGCGAGGTTTTATTGTTCAGACTAAGATTAACTTAATCGAATGAGCCGAAGTGAACCTAAACTTAAGCGAGTGGAAGGTTCACTTTGGTTTGTTTCCTAGGAATTTGATTGGCTAGACGATCTAAGCTTGAAAAGTCGTGGCTTTTGGAAAGAGCCCAGGAAAACGACTTAAATCGTGTAATCCTATAACCTTTAGCATAAAAGTAGCTGCAAAGATGAAACCTCGATAGATTACCTCGTCAAGATTAATAGCCTAATAGATTCTATATTCTGAGAGAGAAACTGTTGATACGGATAATGATACTCGACGGTTATGCAGCTCTAAGAGCATCTCCAGCGGTTGGTCTCAAACACGGTTTTATCCTAAAAGTAACGCTGTTAAGACTTGGCCGAGACTTAAGGCTTCCACCAGAAGGTCCTATTGCAGGTTTTAACTTCACCGGGACCTATAGATTGGCTTTCGAGTCTTAAAATAAGACCACAATCTTAATGCCACCCATACAAAACTGAAGAGTCGCCGTATTTAAAAGATTGCACCAAGACTGAATGCAATTTTCACATGCGGGATAGAACTCACCGCTGGAAGTAAGTCGGTCTGCGCGGGTCTCAACTGTAAAATTGTGGTCTCAAAGACCCTGTTACGTCTTAGGATAAGACCCACCGCTGGAGATGCTCTAACCGAGTAAGGCGGGTGAGCCAATGAAGACGTGAGTGAGAAAACGAACCAAGGACGTAACTGTGAATGGCGTGGTTCGTGTTTTTAAACTAGCAAAAATGACCGCGAACCTGGAATATCGATATACTGAGTTCACAAAATGGTATTTGAAACTTCCGAACTCGGTAGACCGGTTTACCGGGTTGAACCCGGTAAACAGAACCCGGCGGGTTCTCATGTCTCAGGTTCGTTCAAGCCGTGTGACTACCACTAATGATGTTAATTATGGAGTGTTTTTTTGTTGGGCCCGACATTGAGGAAGATGCCGATGACAAATGGGCTGAGCTGGCCGATGCAGCGATATCAGCGCAGGGGGCACTAATAACCAGCATTGCTCTCATAACCAGCATTGCTCTCATAACCAGCATTGCTCTCATGCCAGACGCCGTCTTGCCCCGAGCACGAAGAGTTTCTAACCTGCAGTAGGAAGGAGAGGTCATCCACCACTACACTGTAGTGGTGGATGAATCGCCCCATTCCCGATGACTCGGTAATGGAGCGATTCCCGTACTAGCTTACCCGGGCGACAAGCGTCCCGGGGGAGGTCGCAGTTCGTAAGGCTAGAAATTTTCATCAAGATGATCAATCCCGTGGCGCATGATATCCAGCACAGCACGAAAACCAACCCAAGAAGAAACAACACGAAGTGCTAGAACTATTTAGTTACGGGACTTAGCCTGAAGACCCACTGCAATGGATGCTCCTCCTCTCGTCCACCTCGGCTCGCTCCCTAGGCCGTGCGCTTGAAGTGGTCCTCGTCGATCGTGGAGTAGACGTGGCCCTCGCTGGTGAGATAGTTGAGCGCGCTGCGCAGCTGCGGCTCGGTCATCTGGCCGCGGAGGTCGGCGTAGATCTGGTCGATCTTGAGGCCGCGGTCGCTGGTGCACGTGCCCAGCACGTCGAGGATGGCCTTCTGCTCGGGCGAGAAGTTGGAGTCCATCATGCCGTAGTCCATGGCGCCGCCGCCGCCGAAGCCGCCCGCGGCCGCGCCGGCGCTGGGCTGGTTCCACTGGTTGGCGCCCTTGGTGGGCGTGTTGAAGGACGTCATGGTGACGTCCGCCTTGCCGTCGTGCACGGGCCGGGTGTTGTAGCAGTGCACGTAGATGACCTCGAGCAGGTGGTGCGTGAGCTCGTTCAGGTCGTCCACGGGCGTCACGTTGAAGCACGAGAGGCTGGCCTTGCCCTGGAACGAGCGCAGCTTGCCCACGACGCGCACGTAGCTGCCGTCGCGCAGGCGGTTCATCTCGCTCTCGCTCGCGTCCGGGTCGTCGGCCGTGACGAAGTACTGGCAGTCGAAGGCGCCCGAGCCGTCGTCCAGCTGGAAGCGCAGGCTCGTCGAGTGCGGCGTCAGGTTGGTCAGCAGCCCCACGAGCCGCACGGTGGACAGCTCCTGGCCGTCCAGCCGCAGCGCGTCGTCGTCCCCGGAGGCGCCGCCCAGCGTCTGCAGCTGCTTGATGCTCACGGGCAGGATGCTCTGCGCGCCGCCGCTGCGCTTGGTGGGCGTGGCCTGGCTGCCGCTCGGCTGGCTCGACATGAAGCCGCCGCCGCCATTGCCCGGGTACTCGTCGTTGCCGTACGCCTCGTAGCCGCCGCCGTAGTTCATGGTCCGCCGCCGCTGGACTGCAGTGAGTGTGATAGCGCGCCAAATAGAAATTAGAGCTTGGCGCCAAAAAGAACCCTTTTTTGAGAGTACTCGGCTAAGTACGAGAAGAGCCGCCGCCTCAGTTCATTACCGGCCATGGAGTTCCTGGTGCCGCTGCACGCGGCGGACCTGGAGCTGGCCAAGGCGGGGCGCTACCACGTGCAGAGCGTGCTGACGTTCGAGGACGAGACGGCGGCCGAGATCTCGGCGCGCGTGCAGCGGCTGGAGGACCGGGTGCTGGGCAGCGAGGCTGGGCTGGAGCTGCTGCAGGAGGACCCGCTGGACGTGGCGTACAGCCTCGTCAAGAAGCTGCCGGCGCTCTCGGAGCCGCTGCGCATGCGCGTGGTGGAGATGCTGGCCGCCTTCGTGTCCAACGCCACCGAGGGCGTGCTGGCGCGGCGCCCGGGCAGCGACGCGGAGGACGTGGCGCTCTACCGCAGCGCCTTCAAGGCCAGCGTCTACTTCCTCGTCACGGCGCTCACGAGCGTCAGCAGCCTGCAGGTGCAGGCCGAGAAGGACGTGCTCAAGCACAAGGGCAAGAAGAGCCAGACGTCGGCGCTCAACCGCGTCAACTGGAGCAAGGTCGTGGAGGGCGCCATCCACAAGCTCAACCGCTCCGTCAACCCCGCGACCTTCAGCATGTGGAACATGAACGTGCCCGAAGAGGTGGGACGGCTGGCGAGCTAGGAGGCGCGCGCCCGAAGCCTGAGGTGCATTACTTGCTCACAGCTTCTTGTCTGGTCTTGTCTTCTCTTGTCGCAGGAGTTCTCCATGCTGTACTGCAAAGTGGTGTTCGAGCTGCTGGGCAACGCGCCGCTCTGCCGGGGCAAGTCCTTCAAGCCCAAGCTCTACCATGTACGCACGTCACGCCTCGTCCGTTTGCTAGTAACCAACCGGTTGCGTGACTAACTAACTGACGCCACGGAACACCCCACCGCTCTTGCTCGTGTTGCCGTCTCCTCTGTCTTGCTGCTGCAGCTGCTCGCGATGAGCCTACAGAAGGCGCCTGCGATCCACATATCAGTGGTGGCGTCGCTCATCGACTTGATCTACACGCACGAGCACTTGAGCGCATCCATCGCGGAGCTGGTCGAGCTGCTCTACTTCAAGTACGCCAACATGACCTTCGCGGCGGACCTCATCAGCGAGATCGGCAAGATCTCGTCGCGGGACGCCTCCAAGGACGTGGCCGGCACGCGCAACATCGCCATGTTTCTCTCGAGTCTGTCAACGCTCACGCCGGCGTTGATCATGGGGAATCTGAGCTTCGTGTTGGCGTTGCTGGACTCAGAGGCGTACCAGCTGCGCAACGCTGCTGTTACGTGCGTGGCGCAGATATTGTTGTGGAACTTCCGTCAAAATGGACTGGACCCTCAGACCGCCTCTACTGACGACGCTGCAGCAACGAAAAAGAAGTCGCGTAAGCAGAAGAAGAAGAAGAACGACGAGGAAACCAAGAGCGACGGATCTGATAGTGACGAAAGCAGCGATGACGAGGGCGGCAGCAGCAGTGACTCAAACGACGACGACGAAGAGGCTAGCAAGACTTCTGCACAGGCCCCGCGCACGTTTTCTCGATCCACGCGAGATCAGCTCCTCAGTGTGCTTGAGGACCGCACACATGACATCAACTCTTTCGCGCGAGGCCACGTCTTGAAGATGTGGGCGCTGTTGTGCGAGGAAGGAGCTTTGCCGCTGCACATGCTCAAGAACGTGACGCTGATGGCTGTCGGGCGGCTGCAGGACAAGGCCGCGGTGGTTCGCCGCCATAGCATTCACTTACTCTCTCTGTTATTGGAGAGAAATCCTTTTATGGGGAACCTGGACCGAGACTTCTACGCGAAAAAGCGTGACGAATTGACCGAGGAAATGAAGAAGAAGCGTGACGAGGTCATCGCTGGCGCGGAGAAGGAAATGAGCGAAGCGCTGGGGGAGATCGCCATTCAGAGCGAAGAGGGGGCATCTCCTTCGCCCCCCAGACCAGCAGTCTCCTCGGAAGAGGAAGCTGCTGCCCTTGAAAAAGAGTTGCAAAAGACTGTGCGCCTGTTGAAGTTCTACCAAGACGCGATTGACTTCATTGATGAGTTCGAGCAGCGGGCATTGCCGTTGATGGGGCAGCTACTGGGAAGCAAATCGATCTCGGACGTGTTGGAGGCCATTCAGTTCTTTGAGAAAGCGTATCGTTTCCATCTCGGAGCAGCTCAAACTGGGATCAAGAAGGTTTTGCCGTTGACGTGGCGATCTGATGTGTCGATTCAGGAGCAGTTGTCGAATACGTTCGTGTCTTTGTTTATTCGCATCGATGTGGACGATCCTGAGCGCAATTCACCGCAGCTCGTGGCTGAAAATCTGGTCAAGTTTTTGGATGAGTGCACTGTTGCGGAGTACACGTGTTTGGAGCGAATTATGGGAGAGCTTCATCGCAGTCAAAAGGTACCGATGGTGGTTATCAGCTCTCTTTGGGCACTTGTGGATGTCACTGTTTATCCGATCTCCGTTGTTAGCAATGCTTTGGTGCTGCTGAGCATGATCGCGAACATTGATGATTCGATGCTGTTTTCGAACGACCGTCTGGGTCAAGTGCTCTCGATGGGTTTTGGTGACGTGGCGTGCAGCCCTGGCTCGCGCTATCGCGTTCTTGGCGCTGCCTGTCGATTGGTACAGTGCATTCAGCTAGAACCGAAGAATGCGGTTGCGAAAAGCAACAGTCAGACCCAGCGGCGCATTCAACGCTCGAATCTGGATGCGACCGAGCAGATTATCCTTCGGTTGCAGCGTTTCCTTGCTCTGGATTTTGTTGGCGACGAAGGAATTGATTCGGAGTGCCTGCATTCGACCTGGTTTGATACCGTGCAGCAAGCAATCGAGGCCATATTTTCTATTTGTGAGCGTCCGGAAGATGTGTGTGGTGACGTGATTAAGCATTTGTCGCTGCGTCTGTTTGAGAGTGAGACAAATGATGTTTCTCGTGTGGAGCTGGCACATTTTTTCTTCGTGTTGGGCCACTCGGCAGTGAAAGTAGCCATTCACGTGGAAAAGCTTGCCGCAAAAGTGAAGAAAATGCGTGGTAACCGCACTGCTGCGGCGAGACCATCCGATAACTCAGCCTCCGCTGGGGATGCCGAGGATGTGAGTGCGATGGAGGACGAGCTTGGTGTGGCCGCTGAGGTCGAGGCGGAGGAAGACACCTTTGTGAACAATATCATTCAAAAAGAGATTGCTTGCCGCAATCTGCTGGGAATGTACGGTCCTCTTATTATCCGAGTGCTTGTGGGCGCCGAGGAAGAGTTCAAGAACGACGAACTCTTGACCGAGTGTGCGGTGGTGGCTCTCAGCAAGTTTATGGCCGTGTCCGAAGAGTTCTGCGAAAAGCACTTGCAGCTTCTGTTTACGATTTTGCAAGATTCTCCGCAGCCGTCCGTGCGAGGTGATGTGATTATCGCGCTAGGAGACCTATCGTTCCGATTCCCCAACTTGGTGGAGCCTTGGACGTCGCATCTGTACAACCGTTTACGTGACGTGAACCTGAACGTGCGCAAGAACACAATCGTGGTGCTCTCCCACCTAATTCTGAACGACATGATCAAGGTGAAGGGCCAAATCAGCGAAATCGCCATCTCTTTGGTCGACGAGAACGACGGAATCCGTAACCTTGCCAAGCTCTTTTTCTTCGAGCTGTCGAAGAAGGGAAACAACCCCATTTACAACATGCTTCCGGATGCGATTGGCCAGCTGTCCACCAGGTGAGTTATCGGGTTAAGGTTTGCGTGGTTTCCACGACTAACTCTGTCATGTATTTTCTGTAGCGAGCTCGTGTCCAATTCAGACTTTCAGACGATCACGCGATTCCTCATCCAGTTTATTACGAAGGAAAAACAAATCGAAAGTATCGTCGAAAAGCTGTCCCAGCGGTTCCCGACAGCGTCCAAGGTGCAGCAGCAGCGTGACCTGGCGTACTGTTTGGCACGCCTGCCGCACACAGAGAAGTCGCTCAAGTACTTGTACCAGAACCACAAGCTCTACAGTGATGCTCTCCACGATAGCGTGGTTGCCGACAACTTCACCTCTCTGGTGGCGAAATCGCGGCGCGGGAACAGCGCGCTGACAGCGACGGCCGAAATGAAAGAGGCTATTGACAAGCTGGATCAGTTCATTGTCGGGAAGAAGGAGGGCAAGGAGGAGGTACGTGTTTGCTCATGCAGGGGGAGGCCCCCATTGTACTCGTACTCATTTGTGCATTGTTACATCCATGCTAGGGCGATGCGATGGATGGCGATTCCACGGAGCGTGCGACGTCACCGCAGGCCAAGAGCAGGGCGAAACGGAAGATTTCCGTTAAAGGTGCGAAGACTACGCGAACTACGCCAAAGAAGAGAGAGCGGGCCAAGCGCAAGGTGACGCGTAAGCGCGTTGTGAGCGAAGATTCCTCTGAAGAAGAGTGACAGGCCGATCTGACACCGAAGTAACTCGTCGTTGTGACTACGAATAAAAAAATCACTGCGTGTTCGTCGAATATGATAAGCCCAAAAACGCAAATACTCCCGCGGCATGCGATGGCGAAGCTCATCACCACGCAGTAGGCGGCTGCAACATCTTCGCCTGCAATAGATACTTAGCCTGACAGCGGCTGGCGCTCAACGCCCAGCAAGCTCGTGCACGCAGTCAGCACGCGCAGAACCTCGTCGGGATCGTCCAGATAATACTGCGCACGACTGACCTTCATCCCAACAGTGCACGTATAGCAGTTGCTGCCCTGCACGACGTCGAACATGTCCTCATCAGTGCGCTCGTCTCCCAGCGCGAGGATGAAGTCGAAGTCCAGAGCCGTGAAGTAGGGCGTCTCGCTTTCGTACTCGAGAATGCGACTCACGGCGCGGCCCTTGTTGACACGCCACGGTCGGATCATCACGTACTTCTTAATTCGACACATCACCACACCAACCGGCAGATCACGCAGCATCTGGTCAAAATGCAGCTGCATATCCTTCGCCTGCTTCAGACCGAAGGTGGGGTCGGCATCTCGAAAGTGCCACGTGTAGCAGCAGTCTTTCACATCCAACAGCGAGCCTGGAGTTCGCTCCGTGAAGTGCTCCAAGATGCTCTCCACTTCATCGCGCCATTCCAGCTCCACGTCGCTGAACATGCATTGCCACGGAGCTCTCTCGAACATTGCACTCTCGCTGGCCCCCATGACGGATGAAGACGAGCTCGCAAGCGGATCGTCTTCCGAGGCTGTCGCCATCGCCAGCGATTCGGACGCAAGCGACACGTCTTCGATACTTAATCTCGGCAGATTGTCTCCGCTAGCGCCGCTTCCATCCACGTCAAGCGTAGATGGGTGCTTGGACGCCGGACGGAACCAGTAACCGTGCTCGGCTGCCAGTCCGACGCGTGGTAAATGACCAAACCATTCCTACCAAACGCAGCTGTGAGTAATTTGTAGACACTGGCTAAACACATCACATCCACTAACCTGTAAACGGGTCTTGTTCCTTCCGCTGATAATATAGACGGTGTTGCGAGGATCCGCAGTGAGATCTTCGAGGCAAGACAAAAGTGCAGCGGACGGTTCTGCGAGTTCTTCCATGCTCTGATAGTTGACGAGTGTGCCGTCATAATCCAGCAGGAACAGACGTCGCTGGCTGCGCTCGTAATATCCAAGCAGTTGCGCCGTATCCAGCTTGTCCAAACGATTGTACTCTTGCGCCGTAGCAGCAGCCTGCATTCGTAGCGAGAATAGTTAGACAGAGACGTTCTATCTCACCACACACAAGATAACGAGTCAGCCAGCTCACCTCGTTCAAGGCTGACATGATTCGTTGCGCCCACAGCGTCGACGTGTACGTGTGTACATATCGCGACAGTTGGTGGTGGCGGATCCGCTTAGTGGTCGGACTCATGCGAAGCGCTGTGTCCACGCTTGCAGCAACTTGCTCAATGTGCATCGGGTTGACCAGCAACGCGCCTTGGAACGACGATGCACACCTGACGGCACCCACAGCCGTACCATATCGAATATGACATCATCGTTAGTCAGACCTGCAGCAACAAACAAAACCACCTGCCACAGCCACCAACTCACCCTGCGAACTCACTGTAGACGAGCACACCGTGACAGCTCTTCTTCTGGGCGGCAATGAACTCCATGGCCTGTAGATTTATTCCTTCCTTGATGCTGCTGACGATGGCGACATCGGCGCAGTTGTAGAGCGCCACGAGCTGGTCGTGGTCGATGGACTGCTTCAGATAGCGCACGGGGCAGTACTCTGCGGTGCCGAACCGCCCATTTACGCGGCCCACGAGCTCGTTGATCTGTCGACTGAGCATTCTGTACTGCACAGACGCCGTGCGTCCAGCATCACGCACGACCGCGTATAGGACCACTTTGCCGCGGTACTCTGGGTAGTGCTGCAGCAAGTACTCCATGGCCTCGAGCATCTCCGGGATGCCCTTGCAGAAGTCGAGCTTGTGCACGCCCACGATGATCTTCATGCCGTCCTGCTGCCGCTTGAGCATCTCGACGTGGGCCTCGACCTTGGGCGTGACCGCGTACTTGACTGGGTCGATGCCCATGGGGCAGATGCCGAGCGAGATGAGCCGCCCGTTATACTCGACGCGGCTCGGGGAGCTCTCGAGCCCGAGCATGCGCGTGCAGACGTTGAGGAAGTGGCGCACGTAGTCGAAGTGGTTGAACACGACGAGGTCGGCGCCCAGCACGCCGTGCAGCAGCGCCTCGCGCACGGGCAGCATCTGGAAGAACTCGGAGGACGGGAAGGGGCAGTGGAAGTAGAAGCCGCACGTGATCTCCGGGAAGCGGCGGCGCAGCAGCCCCGGCAGCGCCATGAGCTGGTAGTCGCACACGAGCACGAGGTCCCCGTCCTTGTAGATCTCCGACACGGCCTCGAGGAACTTCTGGTTGGCCGAGCAATAGGCGTCGTACTTGTCGCCGAAGTTCTCGAGCAGGCGGCTGTCCGAGCGCTGCGGCAGCGAGTGGAAGAGCGGCCAGAGCACCACGTTGCAGAACTGGTTGTGGTACAGGTCCAGCGTCTCCGCGCCCAGGAAGACCGGGTGGCACGCGAAGTCCGCCTCGAGCCGGCGCCGCACGCCGTCCTGGCTCGACTCGTCCACGACCGCGCCCGGCCACGAGACCCAGTGCACCGAGTTGCCGCGCCCCAGGTAGTCGATGGCGCTCTTGAGCCCCGTGGCCGACGCCGTGTACTGCCAGCCGTCGCCCTGGTCCGTCTTGAGCATGCGCACGCAGCGGCGCAGCGAGCACACGATGATCTTGTTGCTGTCGTTGGCCATGGGGATCGGCCCCAGGTTGCGCGCCAGCGAGTTGTAGCGCTGCGAGTCCTGGCGCACGGCCGCCAGCCGCCGGTGCAGGTCGTGCAGCTGGTCCAGCAGCGAGCTCTCGCCCAGCTCCGCCAGGCTCGGCGGCGCCGCGGCGTCCGTCCCCGTCGGCTCCATCCCTCCTTGGGAGTTGGGTCTTTTGATGTGGTGCGACGAGAGGCGAAAATGCCGTAATTACAGATCTAGTACTACCCTAATACAAGTATGGCTGACTTCAACTTGACTTGCCCCAAGAGGATTCAATGCAATGCAACGTATTATGAATGAGAAGGAATGCAGACTACAACGCTAAAAGTCACTGCACGGCCGTCTCCGAGCGATCACGGATTACTGGCCGTCCACGATGGGCAGCAGCAGGTCGCGGTACTCGCCGCTCGTGTCGCCTCGGATGCGCTGGCTGAGCTCCTTGCCGTACAGCTTCTTGTACGCCGTCTTGACCTCGGGTAGCAGCACGTGGTAGCGCACCACCGCCGCGCTGAGGCCGTACTCGTCCGTGCCCAGGCCCTTCATCGTGCTCTCGAAGAGACTGGCCAAAAGCTCGAACGGCTCGAACACCATGCGCACGTGGAAGAGCAGCGCCGCCTGGGCGTCGCCCTTGAACTCGCCCTTGATGGCCTTGACGATGCTCGTCTTCTTGTACTTCTTCGAGTACGCGGCGTCGACGTCCTTCAGGTGCTGGCCAGGACTCGACACCACGATCCGGATGAAGGTCTCTTCGTCGGTGCCCCACTTCCCTTCGCCAGCCTTGTACAGAGCATCAGCGTCCGCCGCAGCCTTGGCGCTCGTGTGCACGGCAGGGTCAAAACTCGGCACGTCTCCCTGCATAGCAGCCAAGATGACCTTCTTGAGGTCACCACTTAGCTCGCCGCTCAGCACCTTCACCAGGTCCTCGCCGTACTTCTCCTGGAACGTCTTCTTCAGCAGCGCGATCTCGGCGTTCGAGCGCGCCATCACGACCGGGTAGATCCACTCCTCGGTCGTGCCCAGGCCCTTCGTCGCCTTGCGCAGGATCTCGGCCTCCACGTGCTCCAGAGGGCTCGCCAGCATCTTCAGCAGAAGGCCGTAGTCGCTCGTGCTCTTCACCCACACCGTCAGGCTCTGCTTGTACAGGATGCGGTAGCGCCACCAGATCAGGTAGCGCTGCTCTGCAGTCTTCGACAGTAGCAGCGATGCAAGAGTCTTTTCGTCAGACGCGCCACCAGTGCATTTGGAGTTGATCTCCTCAACAGCAGCTTCAATGTCGGCGTATAGACCCAAGGTCGCACCACCGGCCACATCGTGGCAGGTCTGAGCGTACAGATTGCCAAACCCGACGGTACGGACAATCGTAGAAGACATCGCCGTCACCGAGGACGACACTGTTTTCTTAACTATGCCAACGGTACTGCTCGCCTTCTCCTCCACCGACGCGCTAGCGCCAATGGCCGCACCGACAGCAGCGGTAGCAGCAGCAGCACCGCCCACAGCAGCAGCGGCACCACGAACAGCAGACCCGCTCGACGTGCTCACAGTACCACCACCAGCAGCAACCACCGAGCCAGACGCCGACGCCGACGCACCGAACTCCACCTCGGCCGCATCAAACACCGACAGAAGCAGCTGGCAGTACTCGCCACTCACCACGCTCTGGATGCGCGTGCGCAGCTCCTGGCGGTACAGACGCATGTACACGATGCGAATGCGCACCAGCAGGCGGTAGTACCGCACCACCCACGCACTCAAACCGTACGCGTTCTTGCTCGCACTCTTCAGCGTCGTATCGAACAGCTCCGCAAGCAGCTCCACCGGCTCCAGCACCGAGCGCACCAGGAACAGCAGAGCGCGCTTGGCGTCGCCAGAGAATTCCGCCGTGATCGCGCCCGCCAGGTCCGTCTTGTACTTCGCCACGTACGCACTGTTGATGTTGCGCACGTGCTCAGCAGGGCTCAGCACCAGGATGTTGATGAACGTCGTCTCATCCGTGCCCATGCGGCCCTCCCCCGCCTTGTACAGGGCGTCCGCGTCCGCAGCAGCCTTCACGCTCGTGTGGATCGACGCGTTGAACTCGGCCACCTCACCGCGCATGGCGGTCAGGATCACCTTCTTCAAGTCGCCGCTAAGCTCGCCGCTCAGCACCTTCACCAGGTCCTCGCCGTACTTCTCCTGGAACGTCTTCTTCAGCAGCGCGATCTCGGCGTTCGAGCGCGCCATCACGACCGGGTAGATCCACTCCTCGGTCGTGCCCAGGCCCTTCGTCGCCTTGCGCAGGATCTCGGCCTCCACGTGCTCCAGAGGGCTCGCCAGCATCTTCAGCAGAAGGCCGTAGTCGCTCGTGCTCTTCACCCACACCGTCAGGCTCTGCTTGTACAGGATGCGGTAGCGCCACCAGATCAGGTAGCGCTGCTCTGCAGTCTTCGACAGCAGCAGCGATGCCAGGGCAGCCTCGTCCGAAGCCGCGCCCGTGCACACGCGCTGGATCTCCTGCGCAGCCGCATCGATATCGGCAGAGAACGTCATCGACTCGACGCTGCTGCCCTCGCGGGCGTAGCGGGCGTACAGGCTGCTCATCGCCGCGGTGGCCGTGGCGGTCTCCGTCAGAGCAACAGAGCTCTCCTCTTCGCTCACGCCAGACATCGACGCAGTCACCGTAGAAGCAGAATCCAAGACGCTCGCCGTCTTGCTGCCGGTGGCGCTCACTGCAGCGCTCGACGAGATCCTCGCCTTCTCCTCCACCGACGCGCTAGCGCCAATGGCCGCACCGACAGCAGCGGTAGCAGCAGCAGCACCGCCCACAGCAGCAGCGGCACCACGAACAGCAGACCCGCTCGACGTGCTCACAGTACCACCACCAGCAGCAACCACCGAGCCAGACGCCGACGCCGACGCACCGAACTCCACCTCGGCCGCATCAAACACCGACAGAAGCAGCTGGCAGTACTCGCCACTCACCACGCTCTGGATGCGCGTGCGCAGCTCCTGGCGGTACAGACGCATGTACACGATGCGAATGCGCACCAGCAGGCGGTAGTACCGCACCACCCACGCACTCAAACCGTACGCGTTCTTGCTCGCACTCTTCAGCGTCGTATCGAACAGCTCCGCAAGCAGCTCCACCGGCTCCAGCACCGAGCGCACCAGGAACAGCAGAGCGCGCTTGGCGTCGCCAGAGAATTCCGCCGTGATCGCGCCCGCCAGGTCCGTCTTGTACTTCGCCACGTACGCACTGTTGATGTTGCGCACGTGCTCAGCAGGGCTCAGCACCAGGATGTTGATGAACGTCGTCTCATCCGTGCCCATGCGGCCCTCCCCCGCCTTGTACAGGGCGTCCGCGTCCGCAGCAGCCTTCACGCTCGTGTGGATCGACGCGTTGAACTCGGCCACCTCACCGCGCATGGCGGTCAGGATCACCTTCTTCAAGTCGCCGCTAAGCTCGCCGCTCAGCACCTTCACCAGGTCCTCGCCGTACTTCTCCTGGAACGTCTTCTTCAGCAGCGC